CTTTAAATTACTTCAGCTATGTATTGGTGGGTCCTAAAAGCTCTATCAAGATTTCCCATCATTACTAGAAAGAAAGCTTGACTTAGTGTGGTCATAACAATATGTATATGACAAATTACTAAAGCTACTCTGGCTTTTCCTCTAGGCTCTTCAGCTCCTTCATTCATTTCCTCTTGATACACGATTAAAAGATGGAAGTAAGTACAAATGCCCCTTTGTGCCTGTTGTGAGTTCACGGCCTACGTCACGCATTGCTCTTCCTGATTCCTTAGGATTTCATCTTAAGTCTCTCTTCTTACCAGGTTTGTTTTGGCAGTCACCAAAGAGGCCACCTTTCCCAGTGAAGTTTGAATTTAATGATCCTTTGTAAGTATGGTACTGCCCCTGATGTGTTTTATAGATCCCAGTAAGTGCCAGGCAATGGCTGTAAAGCCAAAATAGAAGTTGGACTAGTATTTTATAGGTTCTAGTGCACAATCTTACATTGTGCTGCCTCATACTTTCACTGCAGGTAACTTAACTTTCACTGACATGGGACTGGAGGGTGCTGTGGGAAGGTCTGACAACATCTAAGGTGAAATGGCTTAAAACAACTCATTTCGCTTATTGTGTGACTACAGAATTATGAATTGTTGCTGTCGTACCCCACTGGCCCCGCCGGCCCACATAATGAAATGCAGGATGTGCCAAATTAAATTGAATACCTAAAATGACCTAGTGGAGGGGCCCCTTTTCTTCTTCTCCACGATTTGGGTCTGACCTAGATGGTTTGGGTTTTACAGATAATTTTAAAAATTGATGTGGCTGAAGAATTGAAAGGATTTATGGGCTGCTTTGAGAAACTGTCTGGATTGCCATTTTTAGTTTGGGTGAAAACTGAGATGATGGCAAATATCAAAGTATTTCTGAGGTGAAGATTTTTATTATCATATTGATGTCATGTTAGCGTTCAGAGTTATTTTCTTGACTGCAAAGGTGAATGAAATACTGTTTTCATTAAATAACTCTTCACTCATCAAAGTCTTCTTCATATTGGGGCGGACTTCTGAGTCTCTCGAGATCTGTCATCTGTTTTGGGAATTGTTTCCCTGTGTGTGTTTTTTTTAGACCAGTTGAATATGATTGCAAAACTTCAGGTAACTGCAGTAAGAAACCAACCAACCAACCAAAAAAAAACCCTTATCTTCCTCTCTTCTTCAGGCACTACGGTTTCATCGTGAGCGCAGCGAAACTCTTTGCGACAGTGTACTGTGTTCCCTTCACAGAGAAGGTAATCCATCCTGTATCAGTGCTCCTGTCGTGTGACTTGGGTGTACGTGTTCAGTTTTGGTCCCATGTCCAGTTACCAATTCTTTCCAAGATTTGATTAAACAGATTCTTAAAGTAATCTATGCTTCAGCACTGACTGTTCGGCAACTGCTTAGGTTTAGTCTTCTTTATTTAAATCCCTAACCCAGAGAAGGAATGGGTAGTGTATTGGGTATTTTCAGTAATCTCTGAGCTCAGGAATTCTTATTTTGATGGACCTATTGCCTGTGCGATATAATAACTGAACTGGAGGATCTTTATAAGGCACTTTTTAAATTAAGTGTTGTAGCTATGGTTTGTGACCAACCAAAAAAAAACCCTTATCTTCCTCTCTTCTTCAGGCACTACGGTTTCATCGTGAGCGCAGCGAAACTCTTTGCGACAGTGTACTGTGTTCCCTTCACAGAGAAGGTAATCCATCCTGTATCAGTGCTCCTGTCGTGTGACTTGGGTGAACGTGTTCAGTTTTGGTCCCATGTCCAGTTACCAATTCTTTCCAAGATTTGATTAAACAGATTCTTAAAGTAATCTATGCTTCAGCACTGACTGTTCAGCAACTGCTTAGGTTTAGTCTTCTTTATTTAAATCCCTAACCCAGAGAAGAAATGGGTAGTGCACTGGGTATTTTCAGTAATCTCTGAGCTCAGGAATTCTTATTTTGATGGACCTATCGCCTGTGCAATATAATAACTGAACTGGAAGATCTTTATAAGGCGCTTTTTAAATTAAGTGTCGTAGCTATGGTTTGTGAGTTCTGTTTTTTACTACTCAACAGCTTCTGTGTTGCTTGTCCTTTGTTTTTCTTGTTACCCTTTTCCTTTTCTAATTGGATCTTCCTGTAAGTTGCGTTTACGCTTCAGTTCTGTTCGGTTTTCAAGTGCTGCACTCTGGTTCAATGGGGCAACTGAAATGTCACTTGGTGTTTCAGTGATGATGTTTCACTGAAACATCATGGAATATTTGTGGGATTTTTTTTGTTTTGGTGTTCTTTGAAATGCTACTGGATATCCAGTCTTTTTGTGGGGGTGTTTTTGAGTTGATGTGAACTTTAATTGGTTTTCTTCAAAACCTTAACAGGATTTGTCAGAGGAAACTATTTTGAAGATTATTTCAGCTGTGAAGGTACCAGAGTTCAGACCTTCAAACAAAGTAAGTGCAATATTTAAAAAAAAAGAATCCACAAGCACTGTCCCACATCCCCAGCTACATCTTGCTGATGAGAAATAACACTAATTAAAATGTGTTTTGGGGAAAATAGGAGTGTGGCATCCAGGACTGCTTTAACTTGATATAGCTAAGGTATCTGTGTACCAGATGCTAAATGCAAGATGTGGGGTTTTTTTGCCTTTTGCAAATTATTTGTGGTAGCATTGGTTTCCCTGCGTGAGTGTGACTGTAAGTCTGCAAGCTTTTTAAAGTTTATATGAGTCTATACTATTTCAATAATAGTAGTAAAATTTTACTGATAAGCAATTTTAAAGGAATCTAAGACTAGTGTCAATCTGTTACTTCTTTCTAGGTAATATAAAGCAAGTGTCATTACTTTTATGTTTATTTTTCAAGTGTTAATTTCAAAGCAGCTTAAGCATTATTGTGCAGTGGCTAGCATTTGGCATAATTTAAAATCAGCAAACGTTCCAGAGTCTTTTCATATTTTCTTGCCCAGTGTTAACACTTTTCTTATTAATGCTTGCCTTGTGAGACAAAACTGATATTTTGACTCAGAATCACAGAATGGTTGAGCTTGGAAAGAACCTCTGGAGACTGCCTAGTCCAATCCCCTTGCTCAAGCAAGGGCAGTTATAGCAGGTCATCCTGGAGGGTGTCCCATCAGGTTTTGAATATCTTTGAGGATGGAGATTCCACAGCCTCTCTTTTCTACCTGTGCCAGTGTTCCAACCGTCCTCACATTTTTGGTTGTGGTTTTTTTGTTTGTGGTTTTTTTTTTTTTTTTCTTTAAAGCATTTTCTTATGTTTGTTACGGAGTTCTGTGCACTTTGATTTGTGCTTATACCCCCTTGTTCCATCACTGGGCACCAGTGAAAAAGGTCTGGCTCTGCAGGACGAGAGGAAATGGCCTCAAGTTACATCAGGGGAGGTTCAGGCTGGATATTAGGAAAAATTTTTTCACTGAAAGGGTTCTCAGCCATTGGAATGGGCTGCCCAGGGAGGTGGTTGAGGCACCATCCCTGGAGGTGTTCAAAAGACAGGTTGATGTAGTGCTGGGAGGTATGGTTTAGTGATGATGCTTCTTGTTTGTTGTGTGGGTGTCTATTTTTGTCAAAGTAAGGTTGAACTGGATATCCAGTCTTTTTGTGGGGGTGTTTTTGAGTTGATGTGAACTTTAATTGGTTTTCTTCAAAACCTTAACAGGATTTGTCAGAGGAAACTATTTTGAAGATTATTTCAGCTGTGAAGGTACCAGAGTTCAGACCTTCAAACAAAGTAAGTGCAATATTTAAAAAAAAAGAATCCACAAGCACTGTCCCACATCCCCAGCTACATCTTGCTGATGAGAAATAACACTAATTAAAATGTGTTTTGGGGAAAATAGGAGTGTGGCATCCAGGACTGCTTTAACTTGATATAGCTAAGGTATCTGTGTACCAGATGCTAAATGCAAGATGTGGGGTTTTTTTGCCTTTTGCAAATTATTTGTGGTAGCATTGGTTTCCCTGCGTGAGTGTGACTGTAAGTCTGCAAGCTTTTTAAAGTTTATATGAGTCTATACTATTTCAATAATAGTAGTAAAATTTTACTGATAAGCAATTTTAAAGGAATCTAAGACTAGTGTCAATCTGTTACTTCTTTCTAGGTAATATAAAGCAAGTGTCATTACTTTTATGTTTATTTTTCAAGTGTTAATTTCAAAGCAGCTTAAGCATTATTGTGCAGTGGCTAGCATTTGGCATAATTTAAAATCAGCAAACGTTCCAGAGTCTTTTCATATTTTCTTGCCCAGTGTTAACACTTTTCTTATTAATGCTTGCCTTGTGAGACAAAACTGATATTTTGACTCAGAATCACAGAATGGTTGAGCTTGGAAAGAACCTCTGGAGACTGCCTAGTCCAATCCCCTTGCTCAAGCAAGGGCAGTTATAGCAGGTCATCCTGGAGGGTGTCCCATCAGGTTTTGAATATCTTTGAGGATGGAGATTCCACAGCCTCTCTTTTCTACCTGTGCCAGTGTTCCAACCGTCCTCACATTTTTGGTTGTGGTTTTTTTGTTTGTGGTTTTTTTTTTTTTTTTCTTTAAAGCATTTTCTTATGTTTGTTACGGAGTTCTGTGCACTTTGATTTGTGCTTATACCCCCTTGTTCCATCACTGGGCACCAGTGAAAAAGGTCTGGCTCTGCAGGACGAGAGGAAATGGCCTCAAGTTACATCAGGGGAGGTTCAGGCTGGATATTAGGAAAAATTTTTTCACTGAAAGGGTTCTCAGCCATTGGAATGGGCTGCCCAGGGAGGTGGTTGAGGCACCATCCCTGGAGGTGTTCAAAAGACAGGTTGATGTAGTGCTGGGAGGTATGGTTTAGTGATGATGCTTCTTGTTTGTTGTGTGGGTGTCTATTTTTGTCAAAGTAAGGTTGACGGTTGGACAAGATGATCTTTGAGGTCCCTTCCAACCTAGAAGATTCTGTGATTCTGTACTTTCCCTGCGTCAGATATTTATACACGTTGCTAAGATCCCACTGAGCCTTCTCTTCTCCAGGCTGAACTCTCCCAGCAATCTCAGCTTCTCCTTCTATGAGAGATGCTCCAATCCTTTGATGATCTTTGTGGCCCTTGGCTGGACTTGCTCCATTAAGTGTGTGTCTCTCTGGAACTGGGGAGGAAAGACTGGAGGGAAGGCAGGAAATCTAGTACGCTTCACACTTGTGCTGTACAAAGTTCATGTTTTATTACTCAAGCACTGCACACACTTACAGGTTGTACAGACTGATGAAACTGCACGAAAACCAGATCATATTCCAGTCAGCAGTGAGGATGAAAGAAACGCCATCTTCCAGCTGGAGAAGTCTATACTGTCCAATGAAGCTCTGGAAAGTGAGTAGTGCCAACTGGTTTCATAGCTCAGTAACACCTTGCAATTGCACTGCCAGTAGTATGACATTCAGGTCTTTGAATAAAGCAATTTTGTAATTCTACAAGAAGCTGATAGCTAAAGCTTTCTGAAGTGCCATGCAGGTAACTGTCCTTATTGACATTACTCTGTATTTCTGAGATTCTTGCAAGTTTTAGGGTTCTCTGTTCTGCTTGCATGTAAGTAGAACCCTGATGACAGCAAGCAGGCAGCAGGGGATTGAACTCTTCAGGAGGGAAAGGGTGCTGGCATGATCCCAGATGGACTGAAAGTGATTCTGGTATGAGAAGGTTGAGAATTACTACTTACAGCCATCAATCTGAAATGATCCTATATTGTGAAGGCTGTTAAGAGTCTTTGCCAGCATCTTCTAGTTGTGTTAAAACGAGGATGTTCGAATCTCATTTTTGTGGCTGGCCACGTGAAGAGGTCGTTGGGCAACTACCACATGTGTTCTCAGGCTAAAAATGCACACAGGGGAGAAAGATGAGCTTGGCTGTAACCCATCCCATGGAGTGTCAGCTCTAACCTCTTGGTCTCCCGTGCCACTGAATCCACAGTGCAGGGATTAGAGATGACCAAAGCTAACAGAGGGAATTCTCACAGAATGGAGCTAGAGCGAGGTGGGGTGTACAAGAAACATCCACAGGACTGTCCAAAATCTGTTCCTGGTGTTGGAAGGAAAATAAAATTATGAACTCTATTGATATTTCTTTCATCACTCTGATATTGTTAGGGGCATTCCTGCTTTTAGCATGGGAAAGCAAGTTGTAAGGCAGGCACCAGGCTCCAGAATGTGAAATTTTTTATTTGCTAAGATTCTAGTTCCGTTTAACTGATGTGTAGGACATCAACAGTTTTCTAATAATAATTTTTGCTCTTTTTTTTTTCTTTCTTCTTTTTCACGAGCAGATGACTTGCAAATGAAGCCCATCTCCTTTGAAAAAGACGACGACAGCAACGGGCACATAGACTTCATAACAGCAGCGTCAAACTTGCGAGCCAAGATGTACAACATCGAACCGGCAGATCGGTTCAAAACAAAGCGCATTGCTGGAAAGATTATTCCTGCAATTGCAACAGCTACTGCTGCAGTGTCAGGGCTGGTGAGTGCACTTGTTAAAACACACATTTCTTTCTCTTGCTGTTTATTGCCTAAAAACACTGTTGGCTGGACGTTGATTAACGCTACCCTGACAGAGCCTCGTTAAAGAAATGAGTTTATTTCAAACTTAATAATCTCTTTTTTTTTTTTTTCCTCATGTACCAAAATGAAAGGTCGCTTTTGGTTCTAGATGTGGAAAGCTCTTGGTGTTTTTACTTTTGATTTGCTGACCAGAAAGAGGAGCTGGAGATGAGCATTTTGGTTTCTTTTCTGCCATTAAGAGTGCCGCTGCCAAGAGCGGAAAGGATCTGGTTGTAGTAGTTCCCATCCATGCATCTCAGCAGAACTGCATGCTTTGTGGGGGTGACTGGAATGAAACAACTTTGGAATTCCTACATTAGGAATGCTTTTGAATATTTTAAGTATTTCCATTAGCAGCAAGAGACTTTTTCTGTGGTGTATTGGGTTGCATTTCCAGATGTGATTTACTCTGCCAACTGGACAAAGGCTGATCTCATGAACAACTTACCCTCTAATTGCCAGTTACTTAACTAAGCTAGTGTTGATAGCAGAGTATCTAAGACCTGTGTTTGGTTTCACGGAGTTAAAGAAATGAGTTTATTTCAAACTTAATAATATTTTTTTCTTTTCTCATGTACCAAAATAAAAGGTCACTTTTGGTTCTAGATGTGGAAAGCTCTTGGTGTTTTTACTTTTGATTTGCTGACCAGAAAGAGGAGCTGGAGATGAGCATTTTGGTTTCTTTTCTGCCATTAAGAGTGCCGCTGCCGAGAGCGGAAAGGATCTGGTTGTAGCAGTTCCCATCCATGCATCTCAGCAGAACTGCATGCTTTGGGGGGGTGACTGGAATGAAACAACTTTGGAATTCCTACATTAGGAATGCTTTTGAATATTTTAAGTATTTCCATTAGCAGCAAGAGACTTTTTCTGTGGTGTATTGGGTTGCATTTCCAGATGTGATTTACTCTGCCGATTGGACAAAGGCTGATCTCATGAACAACTTTACCCTCTAATTGCCAGTTACTTAACTAAACTAGTGTTGATAGCAGAGTACCTAAGACCCGTGTTTGGTTTCATGGAAGTATGGGGTTCTTATTTACTGCAGGTTGCACTGGAACTCATCAAAGTTGTGGGTGGCTACCCAGCTGATGCATACAAGAACTGTTTTCTGAACTTAGCCATTCCCATAATGGTCTTCACAGAAACTGCTGAAGTAAGAAGAACAGAAATCAGGTAGGAAAGACAGCAGCAGAAGGGTGGTGTTTGGAAACCTGGTGATTGATGCTTAGAACTTGGTGAGCCCTTGCAACAAGTGTGAAGTTTGTACAGTTATTAAATCCAGATAAACAGATTAAGGCCTTAAGTGCTCATGGAGCAGAACGATGGAACAGTAGATGTGATTTACTCTGCCGATTGGACAAAGGCTGATCTCATGAACAACTTTACCCTCTAATTGCCAGTTACTTAACTAAACTAGTGTTGATAGCAGAGTACCTAAGACCCGTGTTTGGTTTCATGGAAGTATGGGGTTCTTATTTACTGCAGGTTGCACTGGAACTCATCAAAGTTGTGGGTGGCTACCCAGCTGATGCGTACAAGAACTGTTTTCTGAACTTAGCCATTCCCATAATGGTCTTCACAGAAACTGCTGAAGTAAGAAGAACAGAAATCAGGTAGGAAAGACAGCAGCAGAAGGGTGGTGTTTGGAAACCTGGTGATTGATGCTTAGAACTTGGTGAGCCCTTGCAACAAGTGTGAAGTTTGTACAGTTATTAAATCCAGAGAAACAGATTAAGGCCTTAAGTGCTCATGGAGCAGAACGATGGAACCACAGTTCATGGTCATACTCCAATTAAACATTATAGATATTCAGCATTATTTTTTTGTTGTTCTTTAAACTTGGAAGGTCATAGATCACTTAGTGCTTGCTATCAAACTTTATTCCACGTACTTCTAAAGGTGTAAGTGATACTCTTAGTACCACCAAAGGTGCCCCATGCCATATTGCTTAAGAACTTCCTGTTTGGAAAATGCAACACATACTCTTCTGTCCTAATTTGAAAAATAGTGGTTTTAAGGGTTTAGTTTTATTTTAGGTGGAAGCTGTTGCTAGTGAGGCTTAAAAAAAACTCTAGATGAGTTAGATATGTGGGATGGTTATTAATAAACATCCTGTCTGCACAGACTGAACACACCTCTGCATCTTGGTCAGTACAAGAGCTGGTTTTCCGTAGGTCTGAAAACTCGGTGTGTTCCTTGCCAGGTACCACGTTTACCCAGACTTCTTTCTGTGTCTTGTGCTTAGCCAAGGCAAAGGGCTGGAGAAATGGCAGCAGAAGTCACGGATGGAAGCCATGCACCTCACTCGTAGAGAGAAGCAGTAATACATTTATTGATATAAAACGAGAAACTTAACAAAGTTTGATGGTAAATGCGACAGTTAACAGGATTCGAGATGGCAAGGCACACTTGGCTATTTATTGCACAGAGGAAATGGTCAGAGTGAGCTGTCAGGGAGACCTTCCTGATGAGTCACGAGGCTCAGAAAGAACCCCTTTGCTTTCTAAACTCCTTCTCAGAGAGGAGTCTGCGGGCAGCTGGATCCAATCCTAGTCTCAGACTTGGTCAACGGTTTATGTCTAAAGGATTGTATATGCACAATCAATTCTTTATATCACTTAGCTAAGATTTCAAAGTTTAGTGTGCCATTAGTCACTTAGCCAAGGATCTGTTGTGGCAAGGAATCTCTCAAGAAGTAGACGTAACTTTGAGCAGCATCCCTGCTCAAGGGGAGATCCTGGTGTGCGTAACCTTGAGCGGTGTCCCTGCTCAAGGGGAGATCCTGGTGTGCAGCCCACTGCTGCTCAGGAGAGCACAAAGGGCTCTTGGGCTGCCCACTATTTGTGGGGGTAAGATGATTGACCTATAATCATATTTGCATATTGACCACAGTGCCAGTGTTGCTCGAGTTAGCCCTTGGCTGTTGTGTTACATGCCTCACCGAAACCACGTTGAGCTGGGTGCAGCCATCACCACTAGGTGCACCCATAGTGAGCACCACGGGTGGTCACCCCTTGGGCAGAGATACAGGAGATAAAGGCCAGGTTAGTGCCTGGGAAGGGGGAGCACGTCCTTCCAGCAGAGAGGGAAGAGATCTTTGCTCAAGGTAAAATAGCAAGTTGCTAGAAGACACAGCAGTTCTTCAATACCCATTTGAAGGAGATGCCTGAGTTCACATTCTAAAATAACAAACAACTTCTCTCTCTCTTTTTTTTTTTTTTTAAACAGAAATGGGATATCATTTACCATCTGGGACAGGTGGACAATTTATGGGAAAGAGGATTTTACTCTGTTGGACTTCATAAATGCTGTCAGAGTAAGTGCTGTACTGGGTTAATACAAGACAAGAGGAAAGGGTTTTCTTGTTTTGGGTTGTTGGTTTGGGGGGTTGTTTTGGTTTTGTTTTTTTTTGTTCTTTTATCAAGTTATCATTCAAACCAGAGTAATTCTGGAAAGAATTAACGTCAACAGCAATGTCTCCTAAGAAAATGCGTCCAATTCTACTTCCAGATTGTTAATTTAATTGACTCAAATGTATCTTAATAGAACTTCTGTCAACACCTATGAATTAGCAAGCTTTTTGATTGGGATCCTAACAGTTTTGAATAATTATTTGTAGTATTAACAGTGGTAGGATCTGCTGGTTTGTGCAGTTGTTCTAGTCCTTAAACAAATTTCAATTTGTGAATTTCAGGAGAAATATGGAATTGAACCAACTATGGTTGTACAGGGAGTCAAAATGCTGTATGTTCCTGTGATGCCAGGTCATATTAAAAGGTTAAAGCTGACGTAAGTATAACTGGAAAATGTATTGCAGGATGTGAGTGCCCGTTCAAATTATGTTCAGTGGTTGTATCGTAAGAACGTGTGTCTGGCAGCAGTGTTTTCTCTCAAAGTGGTCGCTAGTCATAAGTATTTGGGAAAGAAAAAGGTAATTTCTTCTTTTGGAAGAAAAAAAAAGAGTGAATTAAATTCTGTGGTAAGGACAGGAGACTTGCAAAATGCCACTCTAACTGATGAATACCATAATGAGGAACCCAAAGAAGTCTGACAGTAAGTTTTTTTTTGGGGAAAGAGCCTACCTTGGTTCAAGCAGAATAAGGCTAATTGGACCTTTTTTAAACTGACTTAAAACTCATGGTGATACTTAGCTCTGAAAGAATGAGAACGCTTATTTGCGAGGGAGTTAATGTATTGGTTGCAGATTGGGATTTCTGGGAACCTGTTCAGCTCATAATAATTCCTTGAGATTCTAGCTCACTTGAGTGCTTTTAAAAATGAAGATGCTCACAAGGTCTGGCAGTGCTGCTCCACTGACAGGAAATACCAAACTGGATGTTTGGGAGGGTGTGAGGAGCATCAGTTTTTGACTGATAGGCTTTTGCAAAGTAACGGGCAGATCTCACCCAGGTTTGGTTCTACCTTAGATGTTGATTGAACTTCTTTAGCTCAAAAGCTGTTCCTCGCAGCTGCTGTGAAGTATATGGTGGTCAGTGCTCATGGGCTTTGCTAGAGCACGTAGAGGCTCTAGCATTTACCACAGGTTGATCAGTACTGTTTCAAAACTCTGCTAGTAGGTAACATCAGGCAAAGTAGTTTGTTATGGGCAAGCTACTTCAAACTTCCAGGGAGAGAAGAGCCTCTAAGTTGGTATTGCCTTTAGAGAGGCACACCAAGATGAGAACTTCCAGCCTATCTCAACATAAGTTGTTCATATTCCTTCTCCTACAGCTGGATGAATCATTCTGAATGAGCAGGGTGTGTAATGAAGTCAAAGGCAAGGTGTGAAGCTGCCTTCTTGTGAATATCTGGATTTCTTATTACCCTTGAGTTCAAGCATTTCATGTAGTCACAGCAACTTGGGGTTCTGTTTTACATGATATTTGCACACCAAACTCTGGTCTTGCTTGTGTGTATTTTTTTTTTCCATAAGGTTATTTTAAATCTTTCTCTCCCTGTAATACGACAAGCCTTACAAGACTCTGTCTTCGTTTCACAATCACAGCACTGACTGGTAGCACACTCCTTAAAAGCAAGTTAGGAGTCCTTAAAAGCAAGCTCTGTAGCTTGGGCCTTCCTCATGCAAACGGATATCACCTCACTATCTCTGCTGAGAAGATTAGAGACATAGTTAGGAGCCTTGCTCTGTAACTTGGGCCTTCCTCATGAGGATATCACCTCACTATCTCTGCTGAGAAGAGGCTTTGTGTTCTTCTAAGGGAACAAGTACTTTGGGGAAAGCCCCTTTCTGAGCTGTGTGCTAAATTATAGCCAGAAGGGAAATCCTTCTCTAAGTGACCTGTGAGGAATAGAAATGAGTGACTGTATTCCCCCAGCCCCCAGCATTTGAGCTGGCCTCAGTAATTAGTGCTCTGAGCTGGCAAGGAACTAATTTTGAGACATACAGGGATACATAATGGAAGTGAGGTGGATTGACCTTCTACTTCAGTGTTTTATTATGCAACTTCCAAGCAATAGCTGGAGCTTTTGAGACTGTAGAGAGCAAGATTAAACGCACAGTGTGGTCGTGAAGGAAGAAGTCGCGGATCCTGTTTGGTGTTTTTTTTCCCCCCTCGTTGCTATTTGCCTTCAAAATTCAAGGACTTAAACAAGTCTTAACTTCAGTAGAATTACTTTCCAACTGTGGTCTGCACTGGAGTGGTTCTCCCTAATAACATTAAAACCAGCCATTATGGTATACCGAGAACTTAGTCCTCATTGACCAGAATCCTGCACAGAAAGCTAACTTTGCCTTGTGCCTCAGTAGTACACCAAAAAAGAAATGACATTGGTGAGGGATCCCATCCAAAACTGGCCATTTTGTCTTTTGTGCTGAGCACTTGTTAGTGAACAGTGTAGTAGCTCACTAACGGGCTAAGTTCATCAAGAAATTGGAATACCATTTGCTGTACCTCAGGTGGAGGAACAACTTGTGTGTCAAAATGAAAAGGCGGATTATTCTCCCTCTTAATCTGGTTTCTTGTATGTTGGGTTTCATCGCTGGCAGTGAAATTCATCCCGGGCTGGCCCTGATTTCCCACTGCCACTTGTCTTTTTGGTAGGTTAACCAGTTGTTCTTCATTTCCCTGTAGGATGCAAAAGCTTGTGAAACCCTCAGCTGATAAGAAGTATGTGGATTTGACAGTGTCGTTTCCTCCAGAGACCGATGGAGAGGAGGACTTGCCAGGGCCACCAGTGAGATACTACTTTGTTCAGGAAGACAATTGACAGCAGAGACCCAAAAGTCACTCCCGGACTATTTGTTCTGAAAGGAGTGTGCTAATTTTCAGCAATTAAAGATGGTACTATATATTTGGTTTTGGTGAAGCCTTAATTAAAACAAATGGTGAAAATCAGTGGCTTTGCACTGAAGACAAACTGGATTTATGTCTCATCTGCTCCCGTTTTCTTCAAACCTGTTTGCTCAAAGGAGGATTGGACACTCCATGAGATGGCACGTCCAGTGCAGTCCTTACCTGAAAGGCAAGATTTGCATTAATTTGTGGGGAGTTGAAGAAAGCAAGAAGAACGGTGAACCTAACAAATGGTCCCCAAGTGTGCACATTAGGCACTGCTTAGAGAAGAGTGTGCAGAAAAGGGGGAAACTGCCGTTTTATGATACTTCTGGTATTCTGAGAACATCTCAAATCCATTTCATGTGTTACTCAAAATTCTCAATTTCATTCTTGCCATCTACACGTGAGATTTGAACCCATCCAAAAGGTTTAAACTCCCTCTTAGAGGCAGACGAGCTGCTTTACTGTGGTGTTGGTGCTCTCTTCTGAGCAGTTAGTGATGCTGTGTGTCCCAACGTGGACACCCAGGGAGGCAGGTCTCGAGTTAGGTGTAAATTGTCACAGCTCCCCTGAGTCACAAGAGCTGGAATTGTTGATTTATCCCTGCTAAGACTGTTCTTTGGGGAATACTGCAACACGGGGACCGTGGAAACCTATCGGAGAGCTGAGCGAACGCTTTCAACAATAAAACTTTGCCTTCAAGAAAGAGAAAACGCTCGGTGTGGTTGACCCTTTCTGCCCTCACCAAATGAAAAAAGCTGTAGTGGATGATGACTTTAAAAGGAAGGGAAGACAAGTGACTGTGGATGTTTGTCACAGTGAGCGCCGTTCCCTCAGCTGCTCCTTTTGGTACCGTTTCCTTACAGTGAATGGTTACGCTGCACACCTGTCCACAGCACCAGTCTGAGCTGCACTGAACTCTGAGGATTTTATTGTCATTATCAGTCAATTACTAGGATATCTAAGTATAAAGCATCTGCTTAATGGGAAATAATTAGGGACTAGCTTTGCTACTGTTGTGAGGCAGAGGTGTGTTACAGAAACATCTGTGACTCCACCTTATTTTCTCTATCATTTAAACACTGGATAGTTGAGCTGGTAGTTCTTTTTTTTTTCTTTTTTTCTTTTTTTTTGTTTTTTCTCCCAATGATGACAGTGTGAAGTGAGATTAGAATAAAAGCCTGTGAACTGGAAAACCTTTTAATGTGTTTTAGCTTTAGAAATTGTGATTGCACATCATCTCCTGCAGCTCTTGCAAAAGCTACTGACTACTTAGCTATTTATCCTCGACCATAATTTATTAAAGCTTTAGGGATATCTTCACATTTAGTGAAAGTTATTGGTCAGGAATTTTACTTTTCCTTTTTTCCCTTTTTGGTTAGTTGTAGTCAGGAGTAACAGTTATGAGGCTGGGAACTTGAGCACCAAGAACTGAATAGCTGCATTCAACACAATTATTCCAATATTTGGGATTTAGTCTCACATGCGGGATTTCTTCTGGAAGTTGTATATAGTTTTACAGTCAGTCTAGTTTATAGATATAATTTTCTAGATTAATAATACTGCTTTTTAAACTACCTAACTTATTTCATTTTTTAAAAGAACTTCTTTTAGAGAAACTTTTTGAAACGGTAGAAGAGATAACTACACTTCGAGTGCAGAGAAGGCACAAGCAGACAGTAAGTCTTCACTTCTAAATAACAAAATGTATTTCACTGTGGCAGTATTAGAATGTGTACTCTTAATTGAAATCACTAATTAGTGCTAAAGATCACTTAAAGGTTTAGGTAAATTGAAAGCACTGTCACCTCTCACAGTTGGAGACAAGTGAAACTTTAAGTACACTCTGGTATGTTAGGGTGGTGGTCACATCATGCTTATGCTCTCAAAGTAACATACAAAAAAGTAAAGTATACAGTAAAGTCTCAGTATTTTGCTAGAATGTCATCTGATGGTCCTCAGGGTTTAAAGTAAATTTTCAGATGTAATTAATGGGATAGCTTTTATTAATCACAATGCATACAGCTTTGTGAGACCTTTGCCAAAAAGTCCAGGTTGAGGTTGGCAGGGACGGGGGCCAGTGCAGCTCTATCTCTCTGTGCCTGTTCTTGTGTGTATCTGCTGGAGGGATGTCTGTCCCCTGGGGGGGTTCTGCTCATCTGGGGGAAAAACTGCAAATGCACAACGGCTCTCGATATTTATTGGCAGATCTTGACATTTTTCTGGATATAAGTTAACCTAGGTAAAAATCTTACAAGTAATAACCGAAAGAGGACTTTATATGGAAAAAAACTGTGCATGTCAAGTGGCTCATTAAAATTGTTTTTCATGTTTTAAAACTTTCTGGATGTCTGATACGGAGAGAGAATGTGTTTATATTGAAGGTTGTGCAGAGTGAGCCGATTCGGTATGAATTTGTTTGATACAGCCCATTTCTCAATCCGTTGCTGCTTTTTAGTGAGCTGTCAGGGAGACCTTCCTGATGAGTCACGAGGCTCAGAAAGAACCCCTTTGCTTTCTAAACTCCTTCTCAGAGAGGAGTCTGCGGGCAGCTGGATCCAATCCTAGTCTCAGACTTGGTCAACGGTTTATGTCTAAAGGATTGTATATGCACAATCAATTCTTTATATCACTTAGCTAAGATTTCAAAGTTTAGTGTGCCATTAGTCACTTAGCCAAGGATCTGTTGTGGCAAGGAATCTCTCAAGAAGTAGACGTAACCTTGAGCGGTGTCCCTGCTCAAGGGGAGATCCTGGTGTGCAGCCCACTGCTGCTCAGGAGAGCACAAAGGGCTCTTGGGCTGCCCACTATTTGTGGGGGTAAGATGATTGACCTATAATCATATTTGCATATTGACCACAGTGCCAGTGTTGCTCGAGTTAGCCCTTGGCTGTTGTGTTACATGCCTCACCGAAACCACGTTGAGCTGGGTGCAGCCATCACCACTAGGTGCACCCATAGTGAGCACCACGGGTGGTCACCCCTTGGGCAGAGATACAGGAGATAAAGGCCAGGTTAGTGCCTGGGAAGGGGGAGCACGTCCTTCCAGCAGAGAGGGAAGAGATCTTTGCTCAAGGTAAAATAGCAAGTTGCTAGAAGACACAGCAGTTCTTCAATACCCATTTGAAGGAGATGCCTGAGTTCACATTCTAAAATAACAAACAACTTCTCTCTTTTTTTTTTTTAAACAGAAATGGGATATCATTTACCATCTGGGACAGGTGGACAATTTATGGGAAAGAGGATTTTACTCTGTTGGACTTCATAAATGCTGTCAGAGTAAGTGCTGTACTGGGTTAATACAAGACAAGAGGAAAGGGTTTTCTTGTTTTGGGTTGTTGGTTTGGGGGGTTGTTTTGGTTTTGTTTTTTTTTGTTCTTTTATCAAGTTATCATTCAAACCAGAGTAATTCTGGAAAGAATTAACGTCAACAGCAATGTCTCCTAAGAAAATGCGTCCAATTCTACTTCCAGATTGTTAATTTAATTGACTCAAATGTATCTTAATAGAACTTCTGTCAACACCTATGAATTAGCAAGCTTTTTGATTGGGATCCTAACAGTTTTGAATAATTATTTGTAGTATTAACAGTGGTAGGATCTGCTGGTTTGTGCAGTTGTTCTAGTCCTTAAACAAATTTCAATTTGTGAATTTCAGGAGAAATATGGAATTGAACCAACTATGGTTGTACAGGGAGTCAAAATGCTGTATGTTCCTGTGATGCCAGGTCATATTAAAAGGTTAAAGCTGACGTAAGTATAACTGGAAAATGTATTGCAGGATGTGAGTGCCCGTTCAAATTATGTTCAGTGGTTGTATCGTAAGAACGTGTGTCTGGCAGCAGTGTTTTCTCTCAAAGTGGTCGCTAGTCATAAGTATTTGGGAAAGAAAAAGGTAATTTCTTCTTTTGGAAGAAAAAAAAAGAGTGAATTAAATTCTGTGGTAAGGACAGGAGACTTGCAAAATGCCACTCTAACTGATGAATACCATAATGAGGAACCCAAAGAAGTCTGACAGTAAGTTTTTTTTTGGGGAAAGAGCCTACCTTGGTTCAAGCAGAATAAGGCTAATTGGACCTTTTTTAAACTGACTTAAAACTCATGGTGATACTTAGCTCTGAAAGAATGAGAACGCTTATTTGCGAGGGAGTTAATGTATTGGTTGCAGATTGGGATTTCTGGGAACCTGTTCAGCTCATAATAATTCCTTGAGATTCTAGCTCACTTGAGTGCTTTTAAAAATGAAGATGCTCACAAGGTCTGGCAGTGCTGCTCCACTGACAGGAAATACCAAACTGGATGTTTGGGAGGGTGTGAGGAGCATCAGTTTTTGACTGATAGGCTTTTGCAAAGTAACGGGCAGATCTCACCCAGGTTTGGTTCTACCTTAGATGTTGATTGAACTTCTTTAGCTCAAAAGCTGTTCCTCGCAGCTGCTGTGAAGTATATGGTGGTCAGTGCTCATGGGCTTTGCTAGAGCACGTAGAGGCTCTAGCATTTACCACAGGTTGATCAGTACTGTTTCAAAACTCTGCTAGTAGGTAACATCAGGCAAAGTAGTTTGTTATGGGCAAGCTACTTCAAACTTCCAGGGAGAGAAGAGCCTCTAAGTTGGTATTGCCTTTAGAGAGGCACACCAAGATGAGAACTTCCAGCCTATCTCAACATAAGTTGTTCATATTCCTTCTCCTACAGCTGGATGAATCATTCTGAATGAGCAGGGTGTGTAATGAAGTCAAAGGCAAGGTGTGAAGCTGCCTTCTTGTGAATATCTGGATTTCTTATTACCCTTGAGTTCAAGCATTTCATGTAGTCACAGCAACTTGGGGTTCTGTTACAAACAGTCCCAAAAGCTTTACACGATATTTGCACACCAAACTCTGGTCTTGCTTGTGTGTATTTTTTTTTTTCCTTAAGGTATTTTAAATCTTTCTCTCACTGTAATACGACAAGCCTTACAAGACTCTGTCTTCGTTTCACAATCACAGCACTGACTGGTAGCACACTCCTTAAAAGCAAGTTAGGAGTCCTTAAAAGCAAGCTCTGTAGCTTGGGCCTTCCTCATGCAAACGGATATCACCTCACTATCTCTGCTGAGAAGAGGCTTTGTGTTCTTCTAAGGGAACAAGTACTTTGGGGAAAGCCCCTTTCTGAGCTGTGTGCTAAATTATAGCCAGAAGGGAAATCCTTCTCTAAGTGACCTGTGAGGAATAGAAATGAGTGACTGTATTCCCCCAGCCCCCAGCATTTGAGCTGGCCTCAGTAATTAGTGCTCTGAGCTGGCAAGGAACTAATTTTGAGACATACAGGGATACATAATGGAAGTGAGGTGGATTGACCTTCTACTTCAGTGTTTTATTATGCAACTTCCAAGCAATAGCTGGAGCTTTTGAGACTGTAGAGAGCAAAGATTAAACGCACAGTGTGGTCGTGAAGGAAGAAGTCGCAGATCCTGGTTTGGGTTTTTTTTTTCCCCCTCATTGCTATTTGCCTTCAAAATTCAAGGACTTAAACAAGTCTTAACTTCAGTAGAATTACTTTCCAACAGATCTGTGGTCTGCACTGGAGTGGTTCTCCCTAATAACATATTAAAACCAGCCATTATGGTATACTGAGAACTTACTCCTCATTGACCAAAATCCTGCACGGAAAGCTAACTTTGCCTTGTCCCTCAGTAGTACACCAAAAAAGAAATTACATTGGTGAGAGTCTGGCCATTTTGTCTTCTCTTTTGTGCTGAGAATTTGTTAGTGAACAGTGTAGTAGCTCACTAACTAAAACCAGCCATTATGGTATACCGAGAACTTAGTCCTCATTGACCAGAATCCTGCACAGAAAGCTAACTTTGCCTTGTGCCTCAGTAGTACACCAAAAAAGAAATGACATTGGTGAGGGATCCCATCCAAAACTGGCCATTTTGTCTTTTGTGCTGAGCACTTGTTAGTGAACAGTGTAGTAGCTCACTAACGGGCTAAGTTCATCAAGAAATTGGAATACCATTTGCTGTACCTCAGGTGGAGGAACAACTTGTGCGTCAAAATGAAAAGGCGGATTATTCTCCCTTTTAATCTGGTTTCTTGTATGTTGGGCTTCATCGCTGGCAGTGAAATTCATCCCGGGCTGGCCCTGATTTCCCACTGCCACTTGTCTTTTTGGTAGGTTAACCAGTTGTTCTTCATTTCCCTGTAGGATGCAAAAGCTTGTGAAACCCTCAGCTGATAAGAAGTATGTGGATTTGACAGTGTCGTTTCCTCCAGAGACCGATGGAGAGGAGGACTTGCCAGGGCCACCAGTGAGATACTACTTTGTTCAGGAAGACAATTGACAGCAGAGACCCAAAAGTCACTCCCGGACTATTTGTTCTGAAAGGAGTGTGCTAATTTTCAGCAATTAAAGATGGTACTATATATTTGGTTTTGGTGAAGCCTTAATTAAAACAAATGGTGAAAATCAGTGGCTTTGCACTGAAGACAAACTGGATTTATGTCTCATCTGCTCCCGTTTTCTTCAAACCTGTTTGCTCAAAGGAGGATTGGACACTCCATGAGATGGCACGTCCAGTGCAGTCCTTACCTGAAAGGCAAGATTTGCATTAATTTGTGGGGAGTTGAAGAAAGCAAGAAGAACGGTGAACCTAACAAATGGTCCCCAAGTGTGCACATTAGGCACTGCTTAGAGAAGAGTGTGCAGAAAAGGGGGAAACTGCCGTTTTATGATACTTCTGGTATTCTGAGAACATCTCAAATCCATTTCATGTGTTACTCAAAATTCTCAATTTCATTCTTGCCATCTACACGTGAGATTTGAACCCATCCAAAAGGTTTAAACTCCCTCTTAGAGGCAGACGAGCTGCTTTACTGTGGTGTTGGTGCTCTCTTCTGAGCAGTTAGTGATGCTGTGTGTCCCAACGTGGACACCCAGGGAGGCAGGTCTCGAGTTAGGTGTAAATTGTCACAGCTCCCCTGAGTCACAAGAGCTGGAATTGTTGATTTATCCCTGCTAAGACTGTTCTTTGGGGAATACTGCAACACGGGGACCGTGGAAACCTATCGGAGAGCTGAGCGAACGCTTTCAACAATAAAACTTTGCCTTCAAGAAAGAGAAAACGCTCGGTGTGGTTGACCCTTTCTGCCCTCACCAAATGAAAAAAGCTGTAGTGGATGATGACTTTAAAAGGAAGGGAAGACAAGTGACTGTGGATGTTTGTCACAGTGAGCGCCGTTCCCTCAGCTGCTCCTTTTGGTACCGTTTCCTTACAGTGAATGGTTACGCTGCACACCTGTCCACAGCACCAGTCTGAGCTGCACTGAACTCTGAGGATTTTATTGTCATTATCAGTCAATTACTAGGATATCTAAGTATAAAGCATCTGCTTAATGGGAAATAATTAGGGACTAGCTTTGCTACTGTTGTGAGACAGAGGTGTGTTACAGAAGCATCTATGACTCCACCTTATTTTCTCTATCATTTAAACACTGGATAGTTGAGCTGGTAGTTCTTTTTTTTCTTTTTTTCTTTTTTTTTGTTTTTTCTCCCAATGATGACAGTGTGAAGTGAGATTAGAATAAAAGCCTGTGAACTGGAAAACCTTTTAATGTGTTTTAGCTTTAGAGATTGTGATTGCACATCATCTCCTGCAGCTCTTGCAAAAGCTACTGACTACTTAGCTATTTATCCTCGACCATAATTTATTAAAGCTTTAGGGATATCTTCACATTTAGTGAAAGTTATTGGTCAGGAATTTTACTTTTCCTTTTTTCCCTTTTTGGTTAGTTGTAGTCAGGAGTAACAGTTATGAGGCTGGGAACTTGAGCACCAAGAACTGAATAGCTGCATTCAACACAATTATTCCAATATTTGGGATTTAGTCTCACATGCGGGATTTCTTCTGGAAGTTGTATATAGTTTTACAGTCAGTCTAGTTTATAGATATAATTTTCTAGATTAATAATACTGCTTTTTAAACTACCTAACTTATTTCATTTTTTAAAAGAACTTCTTTTAGAGAAACTTTTTGAAACGGTAGAAGAGATAACTACACTTCGAGTGCAGAGAAGGCACAAGCAGACAGTAAGTCTTCACTTCTAAATAACAAAATGTATTTCACTGTGGCAGTATTAGAATGTGTACTCTTAATTGAAATCACTAATTAGTGCTAAAGATCACTTAAAGGTTTAGGTAAATTGAAAGCACTGTCACCTCTCACAGTTGGAGACAAGTGAAACTTTAAGTACACTCTGGTATGTTAGGGTGGTGGTCACATCATGCTTATGCTCTCAAAGTAACATATAAAAAAGTAAAGTATACAGTAAAGTCTCCGTATTTTGCTAGAATGTCATCTGATGGTCCTCAGGGTTTAAAGTAAATTTTCAGATGTAATTAATGGGATAGCTTTTATTAATCACAATGCATACAGCTTTGTGAGACCTTTGCCAAAAAGTCCAGGTTGAGGTTGGCAGGGACAGGGGCCAGTGCAGCTCTATCTCTCTGTGCCTGTTCTTGTGTGTATCTGCTGGAGGGATGTCTGTCCCCTGGGGGGGTTCTGCTCATCTGGGGGAAAAACTGCAAATGCACAACGGCTCTCGATATTTATTGGCAGATCTTGACATTTTTCTGGATATAAGTTAACCTAGGTAAAAATCTTACAAGTAATAACCGAAAGAGGACTTTATATGGAAAAAAACTGTGCATGTCAAGTGGCTCATTAAAATTGTTTTTCATGTTTTAAAACTTTCTGGATGTCTGATACGGAGAGAGAATGTGTTCATATTGAAGGTTGTGCAGAGTGAGCCGATTCGGTATGAATTTGTTTGATACAGCCCATTTCTCAATCCGTTGCTGCTTTTTATCAAAAGTCAGCAGGATCACACTAAAAAGGCTCCATCAAACCTGGCAAGTGAATTTTGGGGTGCTGGTCTGCCAGATCTCCAGCGTTGTCACTGCCAGTGCTAGGAGTGCAGAGGCTTGTTAGCACTACCTGGAATCTGAGAACTGCTTTTTCTCCTCTCTCCTCCTCCCTCTCTCCTCTTTATTGGACTGTTTGATGCTCTATTCTGGTGGAGCAGCTAGAGTTACCCATCTCCCTGCAGCAATGAAGAACTTACCTTTCTGCTAGAATGCTTTATGTAGCTTTCCTTCAAAATGTTATCCTTTGAAAGAGTAGTTGACTTGCAGAGATGAGGTTTTATATCGGTATTAAAGCTCTTTCTCACTCAAATGCTTTCTTATGGACTTTTCTCATATTTACACTAGGCTCTCCCTTAATTTCTTGCATTCTTAATAGTTTCAGGAATGTTTGTGGATGCAAACACGAGGCATTTAGTACCCAGCTCAGCTGTTCTCTGTGGTTAATCCCCAGGTTTCTTTAATGCTAGGAGTAGTGAGGACTCTGTGTGAAGATCATGCTACTGTTAACGAGACTGTTTTGGCAGATCTGATGGATTTAGGACTTCATATGCCTATACAAGGAGTAAAAAGTACATGTTTTCAGCTTTTTCCTCCCCCTTTTCCTATGTATGGTGAATATGTAACTGTCTATTTTAAAAAGTGCTATTCAAGAACAATGACTACATAAAAAGAACAACTCTGGCACCAGCTGGGTCTCTGAATACAGAAGCCCTCTGTGATGCACCTCATCACGGCATCTCACATCCTGAAATAATGGGAGTTGGAGCTAGGCAGAGAGTTCCTGTGTCTGTCTGACTTGCATCAAACGTAAGTAAAGCCTTTAGATAAGTTCATGTTCTTAATTTTCCTTGTGTCTTTGAAGCAAGGTGGCTGTAGGGCAGTCATTTTGAGAAAGGAACTGAATTTCAGCCGAACGCAACTGGCTTATTAGCTTGAAAGGTCCATCCATCCCTGTTAATTATGTCCTGTGTTGTAATTACAGAAAGCACACTCCGCTGCAGCACAGTGCACCAATCTAAACCTTTGTCCAGAGGTTGGTAAGTAATCACCAGACTGCTTTGAAAGTTTATTTTAGTGACCGTATCGTTTGTGTGGTGGATGAAGCAGGTAGCGTGGGTGTTTATCCACCCTGCAGAAAGCTTACTGAGGCTCAAGCTTAAAGGTGTCGTGCGTCGCCGGTAGCAGCAGCAGCAGGACTGCCTGGCTAGCCAGCAAAATCATTTTGCACAGCAAAAGTCACAGATACAGTGAAGAAGTATGAAGTTCCCCACTTCTTACAGCAGCACACAAGTTTCAGTTTCATACCTTCACAAAGGGATGGTAAGTATCTTCATGAAAAGCAAGTGCTAGCGTCTCGCACCGTGCTGTGCTTTTTATAGATACAGTGGGTTCAATGCCTTCATATGGTCACACAGCATCTATTATTTAGAAACAACCTGGGCATTCTTCTAAAATGACCTTTCCAAGCCTTGACCGACTTCCCTCAAATCCTTGAAACAAGTAATAATGAATTTTTGATTCCCAAAGGAACACGATGATTGATTTTGGTCTGGAAATAAGAGCAGCTCTGCCTGCAGCACTTCAGTGCCAACATCACAGCCCTCTTCAGCTGAGCTGTGTGAATGCTCCTGCACCTCTGTCACAGAAGAGGTGCTGTTTATTTGGCTGGGTGGTTTTTTTAAAGAAAAAAGGCAGCTAGTGGAGCTGCCTAGCTCCAGAGCCTGTGAAGGAGCATAGCTCAGCAGTGGGTACCCATCCTGTAGCATTTTATTCAGTCTGTCTGTCTGGCAGAACTTAAAGGCTAAAAATACTAAACTTGGATCTTTCTGCTTATCCCTTGAGTTGCTTGTTTTGAAGGCTGGATCCCTGGTTTTCAAGAAGATGGATGGTGTGCCTGAGGCTCGGTGGGGGTTCCCCAACTGTTTGGTGTGATCGGTGGGGCGCTCCCATGCCCTGCTGCCTTCCCCCGTTCCCAGCTGGGCAATCTTGTCTTCCCTGCGCACTCCCTGGGGCTTGCCTCAACAGGAACACTCATTTCTTTTTGTTTAGTTTCCTGAATTAGCTCACAGCAGGCTCTGATGAACACCCCTGCTGGCATGTAGGGGGGAATGTTCATCTGGGATGGAGATGCCTCGTTTTGCTTGAATTTATGCCCTCCCTCAGCTGCATCCCATGGGAAATGCTCCCACCACCTTACTCGGGATGTTCTGGGTCCTGGAAGGGCTGATGGCCCTGAGGAGAGACAGGAATCCCAGTTTAAACTACCCAGACTTGTATTTTCTGCTTTTTGGTCTGTTCTGTGCCTCTCAAAGCCCCCTCCGAGGTGAGGCATCCCTGCTGTTCCTGTGGGATGCCCAGCACTGACACTGTCACCAGTGTGTAAACAAGAACAGGGGTTTTTAAGAGGACGAGTTTATTGCGCTGTGAGCACGGGACAGAACTGAGCCCACAAACAGTCTGCCTAATTTCAATACAGTCTTTTTCCATCACATTCTGCAGGAGCAACGTCTCCTCTCTTTCCCACTCTCTTTTTTTTTCCCCACATTTAATCTTCTGCGGGAATTGGGGTTATTTGCCCCTCCCCAAATCTCAGGAGTTTCTCTGGGAGAAGCTGCATCGCATTCTCGGTTTAAGACCGACAGAGCTGTTCTAGAAACGGAGAAAGAGTAGCTTGGGGAATGCCTTCCATTTCTCTTCAATAGCACGGAGTTCCTCTGCTGCTTCCCTGCCTCTTTCCTTTATCAGGAGCGTTCCTGCGTGTGCCTGCAGCCCCCAGCTTGCTCTCAGGACACCGGGTCCTCTGCGGCGCGCGTCGGGACGACGTACGGCTTCAGGGTCCCTCGGGTTTGGGTCATAAAGTAACTGACAACATCCTGAAGGCTTGGGAGCGTCACCTGGTTCACCAAAACAAAAGCCACCAACTAAATAATAAAAAAATAAACCAGCCCACCCAATAAAACACACTACCCGTGTTGAGAATATATTATTTTCAAACATGCTGGCAGGCTGGGATCCCTAATGGCGTTCCTCAAGAAAGGATTTCCATCCAGCATTTGGGTGTGGTGAGGTTCAGGACAGCCCTCTGCAATCTACGGGGATATTTTGACCCCGGAACATACAACTCCTTCCCTTCCATCAAATGAGTAAACAAAGAGGAAGAGAGAGGGCTCTCTGCCACCACCCTGCTCTTCAGTGACTGCTGGGGATCCTCCAGCAGACGGTGTAACAGCAGATACTTCTTCAAACCAACAGGACTGTTTTGTGATTGGTTTGATTTTATTTTTGTTAGAGAAAAGATGGGTAGGGGTTGTCCTACTTTTCTAGTTCTTAAAAGATGACTTGTTCTTTGAGGTTAGGACTGCCTGGCTAGCCAGCAAAATCATTTTGCACAGCAAAAGTCACAGATACAGTGAAGAAGTATGAAGTTCCCCACTTCTTACAGCAGCACACAAGTTTCAGTTTCATACCTTCACAAAGGGATGGTAAGTATCTTCATGAAAAGCAAGTGCTAGCGTCTCGCACCGTGCTGTGCTTTTTATAGATACAGTGGGTTCAATGCCTTCATATGGTCACACAGCATCTATTATTTAGAAACAACCTGGGCATTCTTCTAAAATGACCTTTCCAAGCCTTGACCGACTTCCCTCAAATCCTTGAAACAAGTAATAATGAATTTTTGATTCCCAAAGGAACACGATGATTGATTTTGGTCTGGAAATAAGAGCAGCTCTGCCTGCAGCACTTCAGTGCCAACATCACAGCCCTCTTCAGCTGAGCTGTGTGAATGCTCCTGCACCTCTGTCACAGAAGAGGTGCTGTTTATTTGGCTGGGTGGTTTTTTTAAAGAAAAAAGGCAGCTAGTGGAGCTGCCTAGCTCCAGAGCCTGTGAAGGAGCATAGCTCAGCAGTGGGTACCCATCCTGTAGCATTTTATTCAGTCTGTCTGTCTGGCAGAACTTAAAGGCTAAAAATACTAAACTTGGATCTTTCTGCTTATCACATGAGTTGCTTGTTTTGAAGGCTGGATCCCTGGTTTTCAAGAAGATGGATGGTGTGCCTGAGGCTCGGTGGGGGTTCCCCAACTGTTTGGTGTGATCGGTGGGGCGCTCCCATGCCCTGCTGCCTTCCCCCGTTCCCAGCTGGGCAATCTTGTCTTCCCTGCGCACTCCCTGGGGCTTGCCTCAACAGGAACACTCATTTCTTTTTGTTTAGTTTCCTGAATTAGCTCACAGCAGGCTCTGATGAACACCCCTGCTGGCATGTAGGGGGGAATGTTCATCTGGGATGGAGATGCCTCGTTTTGCTTGAATTTATGCCCTCCCTCAGCTGCATCCCATGGGAAATGCTCCCACCACCTTACTCGGGATGTTCTGGGTCCTGGAAGGGCTGATGGCCCTGAGGAGAGACAGGAATCCCAGTTTAAACTACCCAGACTTGTATTTTCTGCTTTTTGGTCTGTTCTGTGCCTCTCAAAGCCCCCTCCGAGGTGAGGCATCCCTGCTGTTCCTGTGGGATGCCCAGCACTGACACTGTCACCAGTGTGTAAACAAGAACAGGGGTTTTTAAGAGGACGAATTTATTGCGCTGTGAGCACGGGACAGAACTGAGCCCACAAACAGTCTGCCTAATTTCAATACAGTCTTTTTCCATCACATTCTGCAGGAGCAACGTCTCCTCTCTTTCCCACTCTCTTTTTTTTTCCCCACATTTAATCTTCTGCGGGAATTGGGGTTATTTGCCCCTCCCCAAATCTCAGGAGTTTCTCTGGGAGAAGCTGCATCGCATTCTCGGTTTAAGACCGACAGAGCTGTTCTAGAAACGGAGAAAGAGTAGCTTGGGGAATGCCTTCCATTTCTCTTCAATAGCACGGAGTTCCTCTGCTGCTTCCCTGCCTCTTTCCTTTAGCAGGAGCGTTCCTGCGTGTGCCTGCAGCCCCCAGCTTGCTCTCAGGACACCGGGTCCTCTGCGGCGCGCGTCGGGACGACGTACGGCTTCAGGGTCCCTCGGGTTTGGGTCATAAAGTAACTGACAACATCCTGAAGGCTTGGGAGCGTCACCTGGTTCACCAAAACAAAAGCCACCAACTAAATAATAAAAAAATAAACCAGCCCACCCAATAAAACACACTACCCGTGTTGAGAATATATTATTTTCAAACATGCTGGCAGGCTGGGATCCCTAATGGCGTTCCTCAAGAAAGGATTTCCATCCAGCATTTGGGTGTGGTGAGGTTCAGGACAGCCCTCTGCAATCTACGGGGATATTTTGACCCCGGAACATACAACTCCTTCCCTTCCATCAAATGAGTAAACAAAGAGGAAGAGAGAGGGCTCTCTGCCACCACCCTGCTCTTCAGTGACTGCTGGGGATCCTCCAGCAGACGGTGTAACAGCAGATACTTCTTCAAACCAACAGGACTGTTTTGTGATTGGTTTGATTTTATTTTTGTTAGAGAAAAGATGGGTAGGGGTTGTCCTACTTTTCTAGTTCTTAAAAGATGACTTGTTCTTTGAGGTTAGGTTAGTTGGACTATCAAGAGAGGTGAACTCTCCTCATGCTTTACTTTGACTCACAAATTACAGTTAGGAATTTACTAGAGATTTTCTAATTTTCTGCAAAGTGGTATTTCTTACAGCTGCTTAAGAATCTTCAACAAGGGAATTGTTCACTTACCTGTCTTTCTAAATCAATAAGGTAACTTGTTCCTTTGGACACCACTTTATAGTGCTTTAAGTGTGGGGGACTGAAAGAAAATGAAAGTTGATATACTACCTGAAATGAAATACTTTTTGGTGTATCATTGTCATTATAAATTCCTTTGCAGAAGAAATGGGTGTGCTTTGTAGTATCCCCAGAGCTTACTGAAGGTGTTCAGCAAGGTGTTTTTTTTTCTTTCCCCCCATTTTAGTTTTAGTTTAGAAACACTGGGAATTGCAAATGTCATTCCTGGTGTCCCAGATCCCTCTTGTTCTGAAGCTCTGCAAAAGCTAAAACATGGCAATTCAGTTGAAATGTGGCGTGTTGTTTGACTAAGTTACTGTCTGAAAATACTTATCTTTCATTTCTTGTTTTTCATTTTATAAAGTGGTACGGCTTGTCCCATTTTCATTCTGTGGGATGACTTCTTAAATGGAATAGGATTTCATGGCAAACAAGGGGAGCCCATCTAGCCAAAAAAAAAGGCTTTTCCTGGTGGATCTTTATTGCTGCTTTGTTTAATCTAACTGGCTTTGGAGGAGGAGAGAACTGAGAAATCAGTCTCAGGCCCCATTTGCCTTTCTCAAAACAGCCTGAAAGCAAGGCCTGTCTCAAGAGATGTCAGCTCTGGGTATTAAGAATTGAGCTTGTAACACAGTCTGTGCTAGTTAAGAATGGGATAATGCATTGTGGACTCAACCTACTCCAGCCTGTGCAGGACAGTGATTGCATAGTTCTTGCTGTCGCTGCCGGGACGCAGGATCAGATTCCCATGGGAAGGGTTCTTCTCTAACATCTCTACGGCTTCTTGCCGAGACACTGCATAGAAGCACCTGCACAGGAGGGAAGAGAGAAAAGGCATAAATGAGAGTTGCTCCGGCAAAGGCACGTCATTCTGAGCTGTATGAAGTCATTCTGAGCTGCACGAAGAGACACAGCCTACTGGGCTAACACCTCTTCACCCTACGCTTATCCAGGGTAACTAGCCATGGCTACCAAGAGGCATGACATCTGAGGGACTCTCACTGATTACTGCTTCTATAGGAGCACAATTCAGGACAGCATTTAATCTTCTGCGGGAATTGGGGTTATTTGCCCCTCCCCAAATCTCAGGAGTTTCTCTGGGAGAAGCTGCATCGCATTCTTGGTTTAGGACCGACAGAGCTGTTCTAGAAACGGAGAAAGAGTAGCTTGGGGAATGCCTTCCATTTCTCTTCAATAGCACGGAGTTCCTCTGCTGCTTCCCTGCCTCTTTCCTTTAGCAGGAGCGTTCCTGCGTGTGCCTGCAGCCCCCAGCTTGCTCTCAGGACACCGGGTCCTCTGCGGCGCGCGTCGGGACGACGTACGGCTTCAGGGTCCCTCGGGTTTGGGTCATAAAGTAACTGACAACATCCTGAAGGCTTGGGAGCGTCACCTGGTTCACCAAAACAAAAGCCACCAACTAAATAATAAAAAAATAAACCAACCCACCCAATAAAACACGCTACCCGTGTTGAGAATATATTATTTTCAAACATGCTGGCAGGCTGGGATCCCTAATGGCGTTCCTCAAGAAAGGATTTCCATCCAGCATTTGGGTGTGGTGAGGTTCAGGACAGCCCTCTGCAATCTACGGGGATATTTTGACCCCGGAACATACAACTCCTTCCCTTCCATCAAATGAGTAAACCAAGAGGAAGAGAGAGGGCTCTCTGTACCACCCTGCTCTTCGCTGACTGCTGGTGATCTTCCAGCAGACGGTGTAACAGCAGATACTTCTTCAAACCAACAGGACTGTTTTGTGATTGGTTTGATTTTATTTTTGTTAGAGAAAAGATGGGTAGGGGTTGTCCTACTTTTCTAGTTCTTAAAAGATGACTTGTTCTTTGAGGTTAGGTTAGTTGGACTATCAAGAGAGGTGAACTCTCCTCATGCTTTACTTTGACTCACAAATTACAGTTAGGAATTTACTAGAGATTTTCTAATTTTCTGCAAAGTGGTATTTCTTACAGCTGCTTAAGAATCTTCAACAAGGGAATTGTTCACTTACCTGTCTTTCTAAATCAATAAGGTAACTTGTTCCTTTGGACACCACTTTATAGTGCTTTAAGTGTGGGGGACTGAAAGAAAATGAAAGTTGATATACTACCTGAAATGAAATACTTTTTGGTGTATCATTGTCATTATAAATTCCTTTGCAGAAGAAATGGGTGTGCTTTGTAGTATCCCCCGAGCTTACTGAAGGTGTTCAGCAAGGTGTTTTTTTTTCTTTCCCCCCATTTTAGTTTTAGTTTAGAAACACTGGGAATTGCAAATGTCATTCCTGGTGTCCCAGATCCCTCTTGTTCTGAAGCTCTGCAAAAGCTAAAACATGGCAATTCAGTTGAAATGTGGCGTGTTGTTTGACTAAGTTACTGTCTGAAAATACTTATCTTTCATTTCTTGTTTTTCATTTTATAAAGTGGTACGGCTTGTCCCATTTTCATTCTGTGGGATGACTTCTTAAATGGAATAGGATTTCATGGCAAACAAGGGGAGCCCATCTAGCCAAAAAAAAAGGCTTTTCCTGGTGGATCTTTATTGCTGCTTTGTTTAATCTAACTGGCTTTGGAGGAGGAGAGAACTGAGAAATCAGTCTCAGGCCCCATTTGCCTTTCTCAAAACAGCCTGAAAGCAAGGCCTGTCTCAAGAGATGTCAGCTCTGGGTATTAAGAATTGAGCTTGTAACACAGTCTGTGCTAGTTAAGAATGGGATAATGCATTGTGGACTCAACCTACTCCAGCCTGTGCAGGACAGTGATTGCATAGTTCTTGCTGTCGCTGCCGGGACGCAGGATCAGATTCCCATGGGCAGGGTTCTTCTCTAACATCTCTACGGCTTCTTGCCGAGACACTGCATAGAAGCACCTGCACAGGAGGGAAGAGAGAAAAGGCATAAATGAGAGTTGCTCCGGCAAAGGCACGTCATTCTGAGCTGTATGAAGTCATTCTGAGCTGCACGAAGAGACACAGCCTACTGGGCTAACACCTCTTCACCCTACGCTTATCCAGGGTAACTAGCCATGGCTACCAAGAGGCATGACATCTGAGGGACTCTCACTGATTACTGCTTCTATAGGAGCACAATTCAGGACAGCCCTGCTTTGGCCTTCTCAGAAACTGAAGCTCACACACAGGTATGATGCTTTCTGGACCCTTGGAAAGAATGTGAGGAGAGTAACCTCGATTTACCTTGACTTTCTCAATGGTAATGGGTATTTTCTCAGCAAGGCACACACAACAGCCCAACATTTGGCTTTCTGAAAAGGTTTTTAAGCATAGCAATACATTGCACTCAGTCTTTTCGAAACAAAAGGCGTTGTAGGAAAGCTCCAGGAGTAGTCTTTCCCTTAGGAAATATCTATAAAGGTCTAAAGGTAGATTTTGTTCATTGAGTATTATACAACCCTTATACAACAGCCGAATTTTGAACTTGTGCGTGGAAGTAATACTTTGAAAGAAGAAGAGAAGGCTCTTCAGTCAGGCTGGGGTTTGCATTCAGAGCTTACGCTGGCAGAGGGGTCTGTGTACTGCTGGGAGGGCTCTTTCTGTCCAAGGCTGTGCTGGCACAGTTGTTAAGCATATTCCTTCTATGCTTTTCCTTGTATAGCACTTCTTGCATTCGTCTCAGTTGCTCAGGTGGTAATGACTCATCTGGTGGAATGGACAGCTGAAAACCAACAGCGGAATTGAAAATGAAAGAGTGGACAAACACTGTGAGCAATCATTGCTGTGTGCGCATCACAGCCGCGCTCTGAGCACAGCTGCTGGGCAGAAATCATCCTTACCTGCTTGGTTTAAGCAGCTGTGATAATTTGGAAGGTTTGGATATGCCTCTGCTCTGAATAAAATGCTGCACGTGTGTTTTTGTTAGAATAGGATATTAGAAGAAATGCTCATTAAAAGAAGTGGGAACGATGCAGAAATCCACAATAATATTTTGAGGTTACTATACTGCAAAAGGCTGCATAACTGGAATTTAAACCACTTCAGCCATCCTCAGCTTTCTAAGTGGTTCAGCTAGGGCAATGTAAAGTCATCTGTGAACAAACTTCATTTATTTTTCCCCTAGTCGTTATCACAAGAAGGTCTTTGCATTTTCAAACTGCATTTAGCTAAGAAGAATAGTAAAATAAAACACGGGGCTGAGGGGTTCTCTCAGGTGTGGAGTTTGGCCACTTCTTTGGTTATGTCTTTATCCCATGAGTTGTCTCTCAGAGCAGGCTCCCTTTTTCAGGGCTGTAGGGGATGGACTTGTGCTTAGAAATCTTTTCCTTCCTGGACAGCAAATTGGGAACTGCATCTGACTAGACAGCGTGGCAGAGTGTGTATTGCAGACAAGCTGGGGTTAAGTCAGCCTGAATTTTGCTCTCCTCAGGGGAAAAAACAACAAAAACAACAACAACAACAAAACAAGCCACACACAAAACAACAAATCCCCTCAACAGTTTTGTGAGTGCAAACACCTTAGAAGCAAAGCTTTGTGCCCGTGGAAACCAACTTCTGGCACACATGAAGGCAAAACCCACTTACAGAACAAGCCAGGCACAAAACAACAAATCCCCTCAACAGTTTTGTGAGTGCAAACACCTTAGAAGCAAAGCTTTGTGCCCGTGGAAACCAACTTCTGGCACACATGAAGGCAAAACCCACTTACAGACACTTTTGACGTGAAGTGAGATATAAAACTCTTCCATACCTCTGTTACAGTAAGAATAAAACCCTTCCATTCTTTCCCACATTCACAATCATTAGCCTGAGAGAACAGAAAATGACAGTGTAAGAACAACTACAGCAACAACAAAAAAAAGTATGTTATTTCTTGTGGAAACGTCAAATAACTCTCACTATTTTAGAACTACCATGCCTGGAAATGAGCTCCCTTGCCAAGCTCCATCACACCCCAAAACCCTGTACTTCCCCAGTACTCCAAGTTCAATGAGAGGGAGAGAAAAGAGGTGGGAAGCTAAAAAAACCCTGTTGGAGTTTTAAAAGGAGAGGGTTATGTGGATCCAAGGAGAAAGCCACGCTAAGGTGAGTCTCAAGTCTAAAACCTTCTAGAAAGTTTATCACCACCTTGATTTTACAGGTGATGGGGCCTGTCGGCGTGGTACTTCCTGTATATCTTCTTGGTCAATTCCTTGCTCGTTTCATATGCTCAGATAATCCTGAGGCAAAACTTCTAATGCTTCAGGGGGAGTTCCCTAATGCTGCAGGCTGTTCCCTTAGATGTCAAGAAGGCAGCTCTACTCCTGCACCAAAAATGCAGCTCTGCCTATCTGTGGGAGACTGAGCAAAGTACCAAGTAGCTTAAAATCTCCGCTTTCTTCTTTTTACCTTCAGTTCTAATTCCCCAGTTGGCAGCATCAGGATGAACCGTGCAGAGCCACTTTCGTCTGGACAAACATTGGTTGCTGAGGTCAAAGCTGATATATCCAGTTTCTGTGAGTACTAAGGAGGAGGGGGGAAGAGAAATAGCACAAGTTGTAGTTTTCACCAGAAATCGAGCTGATCCCCAAAAGAACTTCTTTGGAAGAAAAGAAATTTAAACTTTTTTTTCCCCTAGAACTTAGGTTTAGTTTAACTGACAGATGTGTCAAAGCTCTGTCCTTTGCTGGATTTTCCCCATCCTAATCTTCACAATCAAAAACAGATTAAATCCATGAGACCTCATTTCTGTGAGTACTAAGGAAGAGGGGGGGGAAGAGAAATAGCACAAGTTGTAGTTTTCACCAGAAATCAAGCTGCTCCCCAAAAGAACTTCTTTGGAAGAAAAGAAATTTAAACTTTTTTTTCCCCTAGAACTTAGGTTTAGTTTAACTGACAGATGTGTCAAAGCTCTGTCCTTTGCTGGATTTTCCCCATCCTAATCTTCACAATCAAAAACAGATTAAATCCATGAGACCTCCCTGAGGATTTGCTCTGGGACTCCAGCTAAGCCCTCAGCCAGAGCACACCATCATACCAAGTACTTTTTCCTCAACTGCATAAGGGAAAGTCATGTTACACACCGTGATAATTTTGCCCTTGTGCACAGCTGAAGTAAAAGCACTCAGTAAAATTCTGGAGTGATGGGGATACGTTTGTAGGTTTCCAAAAAATACTCCTTTTTTTGTCTTGATGAGGCAAATTAATATGCTATAGTTTGTTTCGCTCTGGCTTTTTTTGTTCTCAGCTTTTCTGTGAAAACGTTCAGTACTATTTTTTTGGACTCTGCAGATGAGAGAGGAAAGGGTGCCGAGGGGTGTCTGGAGTACGTAAAGATTACTCGATGAAAATAGCTACTGCACTTAATCAGATGAGTAGTTACAAAGACAGCACGTTACTCACTGTTGGGGCTTTCTTATCGTCATAAAAGAAGAGCATAGTTCCTCTGAGTTCTGTCCAATACATTCTAAATTCCTGTTGGAAAGGAGGAAGGTGACCTGTTTAGTTCCCACAAAATGCTGAAAGAACTGCTAAGAAAAAAACTGTGTCGTCACATTTTCAGTGTTTTAAGGATTGTTAAAGAGCAAAGATGTATTTTCCAGGCAGTTTATGCAAAAAAGGGTCAGTAAATAATTGTTTGCAGGCAAAAAGATATATAGGCTCTAGGCTTTGTTTTCTAGTATCCTAATCTGGCATGGAACTAGAAAACTTTTAACTAATTTAAAGCTTTTAACTAATTTAAATGTTTGTCAATAATTTGTCCAACAATTTAAAGGAAGTATGCAATGGAAGGAAAATATATTTTAAATGCCAATTTAAAATCTTGCTCTCCCTAAAAGGCATACAAGTAGAAAATAGTGTGAGATGAACACATGTGAAGACTCTGGTCTTCTGAGCAGCATTCTCTTGAGGAAAATAGTGTGAGATGAACATGACTCTGGTCTTCTGAGCAGCATTCTCTTGAAGTGCCTAATTGCAGTTGAATTTTGATCCTGCCAGTTTACTTGCTATAGGGAGAAAATCATAGAGCTTGATGGTAATCTGACCTATTAACTGGACTTTTTGCATTTGAAGTGGTATTTTACATGCCTTGTCTTTAAATTCTATGTATTAGTGTTCTTAAATCAACACCATGCCAAGGTGGACTCCTCTAACTGTTCTCTAACGCAGTTGTGCCAGAGTGAGGGGAAATGTTTTTTTCTGTTTTTACATGCCCCTGATGCCCTGAGGAACTATAGCTGTTACAGGGCACTCGTCTTTAAATTCTATGTAGTAGTGTTCTTAAATCAACACCATGCCAGGGTATGATCTGACTCTTTTAACTGTTCTCTAACACAGTTGTGCCAGAGTAAGGGGAAAGGTTATTTTCTGTTTTCATGTGCCCCTGATACCCTGAGGAACTATAGCTGTTACAGGGCACTGAATTGGGAAGGCAACTTCTGTTAAACAGAAACTCTGTTCTAGTTTTCGGTTTAATTACCTGTTTTGTGTTTGTTGTTTGGTTTGGCGTTTTTTTTTGCTTGTTTGCATAGAGTTTTTTTGAGGTGAGGGTTTAAAAAAACATTCACAAAAACTAATTAAAAAAAATTTTTTTTTGCTTGTTTGCATGGAGTTTTTTTGAGGTGAGGGTATAAAAAACATTCACAAAAACTAATTAAAAAAAAACCACCAAACAGCAAAAAAGCAAACTTGTGAAGTCTGATAGGTCATATGAATTAGGGTGAGCAACATTCTGCAGGTGATCCTTGCTTTTTTACCCTGCTAGCCCCTAACTAGTTGCGTTAAGGTGAATGTCCTCACCAAGCCATCTGTCCCTGGCAGGTTAATGAAGGCTGTGAATGCTGGCTCTGGTGTGGGGCTGGATGTCACCAGCAATTTTTGAACTGCACCTTATGAACTGGGCTTTCTGCTCAATGGCAAAGTAGTTGCCCCAGAGCATTTGTTACTGTTCAACAGCCAAGAATATGTTTTATTCTTGGGTGTCTGGTCTCTCAAATGTGATAGTAACACCTTGTCAGTCCCACGTAAGCCTTTTCAGATCAGCTGCATATTATTGTTCTGCTCTGTTAGTTTTTGTTGTTACAGTATGATAGTGAATTTCAGAAGGAGACATTGTTCAGGGGGAAAAAGGTTTTACCTAAAGGGATATAAATACAGGAATGTAAAAGGGAGCTTTATTAAACTTGCAGGTGTTCTGCTAGAGGCAATGAAACAATGTGTTGAATAATTTCGAGTGCTGCACAATAATTAAGAGTAAGGTTACTTTTAGTTTCTTGGAGTTCCTGTTTTCTGTGGTACCTGGCTGTTCCTGTGTTTGTGAACCACCATGCTATTTTAGGCTTTCGATTGCATCTACCTTTAGCGCTGCGCGACTCTCGTTTTCGCTATTCTGTCTGTGCTTCTACATCTACAGAGATGTGAGTCTAGGAAGGGTAAAAACAACTTTGTCACCCCAAGTACAGGGATTGGGGTTATCAAGTGCTAAAAAAGGGCGATCACCTTGATTAGGGAAATGCTCTGGACATACATGCTATTGTAACATACACAAGCGTGTAGGCATTTACAGGTTTGCATCTTAAATAGTTATCTTGGGTCAAAAAAAAAAAAATATCACCTTGATTAGGGAAATGCTCTGGACATACATGCTATTGTAACATACACAAGCGTGTAGGCATTTACAGGTTTGCATCTTAAATAGTTATCTTGGGTCAAAAAAAAAAAAATCACTCTTATTTTCCCAGTTAGTCCACGTATCTGAAATCATCAGCCTTTGCTAACAAGAAAAAAAAAACAGATGTAGAGACATAGACTTCAGGTGATGTGTCACTGAAGACTTCAGCATGGACGATCTTCTCCCGTAAATAGAGGATGCGTCAGAGCAATGTAACTACATCAAACTTGTCTCTTGGTATTGAAAATAACACATGAGCTTTTCACCATGGTGGTAGCTATGAAATCAGTCAAACTCAATCCACATTTCAGTAGATCGTAGTAAATTACAATGAGATCCTGGAGCTATTGATGGTTACCTTAGTAATTTAGTTTAGCTCCCCCCCCCCCAAAGTAATATGAACAGAAATAACTAGATATCATTATTTCAGTGCAACCATTTGTGTCAGCCAGTGCTGAGAAACATCTCCTGCCCAGCAAACCTGTCCCTCCTGGCTATACATTTTTGAAGAACTATTCCAAACACCTCCAGTTCCTGGGACTGCGTGCCTTACCTGGCATCTTGAGTGCCGGACAGACAGGTAACCTTGGAAGTACAAAGGGAGGCTGGTGATCCTCTGCCTCTCCTGGAAGATGTGCCGGGGGGCTGGCTGAGGAGTTCCCTCAGGCTGTTCCCTACCTCCTCTCAGCATCCTTTGGGTATCTCAGCAGGGTACCTGGGTATCTCAGCAGGGTACCTGGGTACCCCTTGTTGCTCTGCTCTGTCGGGTTTTTTTTTTCTTCTCCTTTCCACTCCTGTTGTTCTCGGTCTGCTCTGTGTCAGCCTCAGCCAGAGAACTGGCCCCAGCGAGAGGGGTGGAAAAAGCATCACCTCGAAGAGGAAGTCTCCGTGCTCACTTTTAGGTCAGCGCACACCATTAACTCTTTGTTTGGTGTGTCATCGTGGGGTGAGGAACCAGACCAAATGGATCTTTCCCCTTTGGAGTGTGCCCCTTGTATTTGCTCCTAGGGCGATATTAAAATAACGAGCAGGCTGGTACCAAAGCGCATCATTATTGTGATGAGTGTCACCTGGAGGTTCTGATGGAAAAGCCTGCTTTTCATGGCTTTACAGCACTGGACACTGCGTGGGCTGCTGCTCTCAGCTGCCTCTGAAATAATATTTAAATTTTTCATTGGGAGCATGGATTAACTTTGAGACTGATAGTTTGACTTTCTTTAGCAAAGGGATTACTGGACACTGAAAGTAGTATTGGAAATAAATCCACCTGTGGTGGTTCATCATTGGTGAGGATGAATCAACTTTGCAGTGTGCATGTATGTATGCATTGGGAAAGAGCTAATTAGACCAAAGCCTTTAAAGAAATTGTGAGGGCAGAGGGTAGCTCAGGAGCAAAACGTTGGTCCTGATGAAATGAGAAGTGAAATTTCCATAGGTTTCACAGAACCGTGGTGTTTTAATTTAGTTTCTGGCATTCCCCTTAGCAGTCAGGAAGAACAGGGATGACAAGACTTGGTGTTTTGATGCTGGTTGCTACTAAATGCAAAGTGAACATTATTTTAATTGTTTGTTTTCTTTTGTTGAGTATTTTCATGGCCTTTTCTGTATCTGTAAGACTGTAATTAGCCGGTAAGGTGATCTATCCTAGATCAGGCAGCCACCAACCATCCCCAGGAGAGGAGAGGTTCAGCCCTACCTGTGAAAGTAAACTCCCCATGGGAGGTGGTATGTGTTCTCAGATTTTGGATAAATTGCATTTTTTTGGTATGTGTTCTCCATTTAATTGTGTTTAGATGTCAGAATGTTGCATGTTGACTTGCAAAAGGGCTAACGAAGGCGGGTTACCCCCACCTTTACCTGGCCAGGCAGACGAGGAGACAGCACACAGCCCACTGCTTGCCAGTGTGTAGTAAAAGGCACCATTTAAGATTATATTTTTGGCCTGCCTTTTCCAGATACCCCTAGATACCGCGATTACGGCGGTGTTACGTTCTCGAGAGGGTTGTTTTCCCCCGTTGCCGAGTTCCTGCGCTGCTGTTTTGAAGAAAAAAACCCAAACAAACCAACAACAAACAAAACCCTGCAACCCCCCCCCCCCCCCCCCGGGGG